CTCCTTGGGTATAAATTTCTAAAGCACAGCAAACGGTTTGCTATCGCATCTAATACAAGAGGCACAGTAGCAAAATATTTAGCTATTGCAACTAAATATTAGCTATCCATATTTTACAACTAAAATTTAGTTACCAATTCTTTTCTTTTCCTTGTTCACGCTGCGGCTAACATCGCCATAAATGACAATTTCATTGTCAGCTCGCCAAGCTGGGGGCCGCTTCGATGCGAGCGCCAACAACGAGATTCTCGATCGGATAGAATTGTTTTATATTACCTCTAAATGAAAGTTTTAGAATCAAGGGAATTCATGAATGTTTACATGTGGATATTTTTTCCGCCATTGAATAATGAAGTCGTTGTCGTATCCTTGCATTGCATAGATCGTTTCGAAGTTTAGGACACTTCTCGAGAATTTCCAAACTTGTTGCATGCCACAAGTATACTGTGTTCAAGTTTTAACACAGCATCACTTCTTCGTTGAAATGCTAAGACCCATCAAATTGACCTCTTACAAGCCTTTACAAGAAGAAAACAATTTTGTCCGTTGTAGTAGCCTGGATATAATTTAAACTACTCATTATCGTTTGCACATTCACGTACGGTTTAAATCTTTGTTTGAACTGATCGATTTTCATTTCTTTTTTACGTGTACTTATAGCAAATTATTACTAAGAATGTATTTTATATCCGACAAAGGAGGGCAGGAAGATAAATGCTTTATAAATTATAAAATTTCAAGCTTGAAGTAAACATATGTGTAAAAGTAAAATAAAATAATAAAAAGAATTAATAGATCACTTTCGCGATCGTTTTATATCGATGGATATGAAATAACTAAATAAGTAAGTAATAAGATAAAAAATATTTATTTTCTCAACGTATACAAAGTTTTCGTATTTAAATTTAAGAATTGTTGAATCTAGCTATGCGTGTTATGTATATTTGTTAGCTCAAAATCCGTCAAGTAGCTTAAAGAAATATTCCACCTAAAAAAATCCAATATATAATGTAAATTACAAGAGAAATAAGTGACACATTTTGATGACTAAAATTTTAAATACCTCTAACATGCCGTCTTCCGGTAAGTCAGAACAATGCACAGCGTTTTGTACTTTTGTTTTCCCATACTTGGCCCTAAGCGTATTCGGTCTGATTTGCCGCGCAATGTCCTGTATCAATTTAGTATGTCAATAACGCGGAGTAAAGCAATTAAAGTTGTTTATACCTACCGAATCCATTGGACCGCATAAGTTTCTGAAATCAGCAACAATGTTAAGGCTCTTGTCTTTGTGACTCACTTCCATAACAATGCATGGACCGGATTGTAGTTCTGTTGCCATCGCCTGTAACAAGTGTTCATGAAAATATTTCTTTAGAAATAATTGTTTCTAGAAGGAATACATAAAATAGATGAAAACCTACAGTATATTCAGGAAGGACACCTTTATATATTTCCAAAAATTCTTCGGAATTAATTGGATTAACATAAAATTGTTGTGCTGCGGTGATTGTGTAGCCTGCTTTCTGTATGTCATCGATAATAGCACCTGTATTGTAAACATAAAATTAAACTGGTTCTAAAGAATATATAACATCACAGTTTCAAATTAAGTTTTCAAAGTTATATGAAAAATTCGATTTCCAAACAGTGGTTATTTTACAAAAAATTTACATATGCAGGGTGTCTGACATAAGAGAACCCGTATGAAAAATGGTACACGACTTCTCTTCTTCTGACCCAATCGAACCATCATTTCTCGCAGGGGTCCTCTTGTGCCAGACATCCTGTATATTGTGTAACAAGATATTTAATTTACCAAGAAGCCTTTCCTGTATGGCATGTGGCTTGATAATGCAACAAGTACACTTTTCTAGAGTTGCAGTGTTTTTTGGACCTTTATTTTTGCTTTTTGAGTCCGGAAAGAAATATTGCAATTCCTGAAAATATCCAATCAGATATTACGTCGAGATAAGTCGAGATGTTTTTAGATTAGCTATGGGTTGTACTTGTAGATTAGACTTTGTACCTGCATTGCTGTTTCGGTATCTTTGGATCCATACACGGCATTATGAATCTCGTCTTTTCCATAGCAAGCTCTTAATGAAGACGCTGCTGTTGAACGAGCATGCTCGCTATCCTCTGGGCCTGCCAATTCTTGCCATCTCATTATGCCATTTTGTCCTAATAATTCTAAAGCAACGACAGGGCCAGAAGTAAGATAATTTATAACAGACCTAAAAATAAACTTTCATAGCCACGGTATCTAAAATATACTGAATAATAATAAACGGTTTGCTCATTAAGATACTGTTAACAACTCAAAGTTTAACTTACGTCTTATCAATTACGTCTTTTACAAGGCAACATTCTGTAATATCGTTTGGAGTTAATCTTATCATTTTTATATTTGTGATGTGAAAATCATAATTTATAATGGCTTTTAATATTTCACCCATTTTGTCGGTGACATCTGGTTTCAAAAGTACGAAAAGCCTGGAAGAGTAAAATTATGGCAGTCGAGTAAAACAATTTTTGTTAATACCAAAGAAATCATACACAAAACAAATTATTTATTCGGTTACTTTTGTAGTTGCGTTTCTAATTTAGTTTTGGTACAGGCATCTGCATAACCCGTAATTTTGATGCATCTTGAAAATATTGTTATTACAGTGCCAACATAAAAGTCTTTAGCTTTAATACCTTCACATGTTGTTCTTCTTAAGAAAGTCTTCCTTGTTTTTAAGTCAAACTAAAATATAGAATATACAATATAGTGGCAACTTCTATTGTGTACAGACGCACGAAGGAGAGCAGCTTAGTTTTTTAACACAAAACTGTATAATTTTTCTCATAGAGTACGATTCCTTTAGTCATTCTGTACATGAAAATCTAGATCAAGATAAGAAAATCAATATTTCACAAAACACTTTATACTTTTTCCTGGCATATGTTGACAAGAAATGTACATTTTGAGAAAGATTAATTACTACATTATCTTAACATTTTGATATACAGAATGAGAGGCATAAATTGTTACAGAGAAAACGCATAATTGCTACGTAAAAAATATGCCTTTTGCGATATGCAAATTACATTTTGTCTTTTTTCCGTTTAAATTCCTAGGCCTGGTCTACAATGAGTTGTTAGTCGTTGGTCAGAAGTCGGACCTATGACCGGTATATCTCAAAATCATCTTAAGTGTTGCCTTAAGACGCTAACAAGACTCTGCGATTGGTTGAAGTCACATTAAAAATATACTTAAGATGATCTTAAATATAAGAACGGACTATGAATACCGGCCCATGTGGTGATCCTTTTCCTTTCTGGGTGGAAGGAGAAAGGCCCGACATATAGTTCTGACTTCTGACTAACAACTCGTTGTAGATCACGCCATACTCTTAAATTTTTCACGATTATTGTGAGCAGTAGACACTTAAGGTGATTGAGTTGGGCTACAAAGTACAAGACAAACATGTAATATAAATTTGTTTTAATTCGCACGTACCAATTCAACAGTATTATCAGATGGATAGTAATACAGATAAAATTTCTTCAGCATACAGGCAACTGTGTCATACCATTCAGCCTCAAATACATATCTGTCGCCGTAGTCCGCAGACATATCGAAACTTACGTATCTTGACGTAGTGTGCTGTTACCACTAATTATTGATATGCAAAGAATTGCAGAACTGCGTCACACAGAAATTAAATGGGTTGTAAAATCGTCGCTCAAGTTGAGAAAAGTATCAAGTGGAATTGAAAATATCTTTTTATTCGTTTCGTACATATCGTTATATTGCGTCTGAATATCCAGCGATATCGAAGACGAAAACAATTGCTGCGGTAGCAAATGGTAGTAAAAACTGTAAAAGACAGCGGAGACAAGTCTGGAAACTGTTCTCTGTGACGTTTGTTGTGGAGTAACGGCTCTGTGTTCACATAATGTAAACATTGAACTACGTAGCCACGTCGACGAAACGTCTCAGTAGGTAACTGATCCTCGATTTCTTACTTTTGCCGCGTCGATAAAGAGTTGGTAACAGAGATCTGTATTATAATTAATGCAACCATTATCAGAAGGTGCGGAATAATGCCCATTCTACACCTAGGGATGATCCTACT